TATATTTAATTATTCGTAAATAATTATTTTTGAGACTGCAAGTACCAGGAATCGAACTCGGGTCCTGCCAAATATGAAGCTCAGAATCAGCCTTAACCAACTGATCCAAAGCCGTACTTGACATTTTTTTTTTTTATATTATTATTTATTGTTGTAGTGCAATTTAAGTTCCCTACGCAAGGTCAATATACTTAATAACTATATATGGTATATATGCATATATAATAAAATGCACAATCGAATAAAATTAACTATATATTTCAGCAGACTTTATTTAGTACTAAAAAAATTTATTAAATCGGTTGTTAAACAACACTAATTAAGTAATCAAGACAATACAAAAAATAATTATAAACAAATTAAAACAAATCATAAGTTAAAAAACAAAATTAAAAATTGTGGAACACTATTATTCTGCTTATTTATAAGTAACTTAGGGCGTTAACCGTTTAGGGTCACGTGGGAACATTGAAGTTTTGCGTATATTGTCAAGTCCCAAATACAACATAACCACACGTTCCATACCAATACCACCACCTGCATGTGGAGGACAACCGAAACGGAACGATTCAATATACGCAGCAATTTTCGAAGTATCTGTAATATAAAATATATATTAACACAAATAAATGAATTAAATAATCAAACAAATTACCAATATTGTGATGTTTTGCACGTTCAATCAAGTAATCTGGATCGTGTATACGTTGCGCACCGGAGAGAATTTCCTCACCACGCATAAACATATCATATGAATTAGAATAAATTGGATTGTTTGGATCTGGCATAGTGTAAAATGGTCGAATTGACAATGGAAATTTATCTAATATATAGAAATCAGTATCATATTTAGCTTTTACTAATCTGCCCAATAATTTCTCATTTGGTGTTGATAAGTCCTCTTCATCGCCAGTTTCTACACCAGCTTCGCGCAACATAGCTACACCATCAGAAAACTTAAGTATAAGCGGTGGTTCAAGAAATTTGAATGGCTCCACCTTGTACTGTTGACCCACAGCTTCAATTTCACGACTATAGCGATCACGTAGACCTTTGAATATAGCTGTAAATGTATCACCAATTGTGTGGAGTACTTCATGATAATGATATTTAAAAGCCATTTCCAAATCAAGACCTACAAATTCAGTCAAATGTCTATGCGTGTTTGAATCTTCTGCACGAAAAACTGCACCAACTGTGTATACTTTGTCGAAATCAGCTGCAATAGCCATTTGCTTGTATAATTGAGGCGATTGTGCCAAATATGCCGAATCTGCAATAATTTAATATTTTAATAAAAATATACAGTTTACGAATTACTTGAAGATGTTGGAGGCACTTATGATAGAAAGTGCTCGAACACAATATGATGTACGAACATCTTCGGGCGGACTTGTGAGTTTGAGCGAACTATTGTAGTAAAAACGTACTTAGATATCAAAATATTCGCAGCTACGAAAACCTCAAATAAAATATTTAAACAAATTTTTACAAATCATATTTAAAAATATATAAAGATGATAAAGATGAAATCATAAATATTTAGGAAAATATATATGAAACGGAACTGCACCAATTAGTTTCAATAGTCGGAACTATCCGGATAGCTTAGTTTACATCAAATGGTTCATATATTGAACAAATCTGAATATTTCTAACTATTCGGACCAACTATTTGCATTAAATAGTTAGAGAATTGAAAAAATTCGAATAGTTCAGATAATGCGGATATTTAAAACAATATTGCATGGCTTGCTTAAATTAAAAATTGCTTATGTGTCTGTTTGATATAATTTGTAAAATATTAGAAATCTGTAAATTAATTTCAAAAAAGCGGAAGTGTTCATTCTTTATATAAATGCTTATGATCATGTAAGAATTATGACTTATTCAGTTTTAAAACTAACGCATAAGTAATATAACAAGCCCAAAATTTTACACATTCGGATAGTTGGAACGGATCTACGGATAGTATATAAAAATTATCTACCCGAATAGTTTGACTATATTAACTCTTTTCTAATATCTAGGTACTCAAAGTTATTTTAAAACTCCGAACTACTTCCATAAGAATAATACAATATATACAAAGAATAAATGAAGATTTAATAATTTACTCACCTTTGAAATAGCTGACAGTAAAGACGTTTGCACCACCTTCACTAGCAGCAGATATAATTTTCGGAGTATGAATTTCTGTGAAACCTTTATCGGTCAAAATATCACGAAACAGTCTACACACACCGGCTTCTAAGCGAAATATTGCTTGATTTGCTGGTGTTCTTAAGTCCAATACTCTGTTATCCAAGCGAGTATCTTGATTGACACGTATATTCAGACCATCAGTATCCTGGAAGTCATATTGTAAAATTACTAACTTATTACATAAATATTTATTTAATTTTACTACCTCACTGGTATCAGGTCGTGATGCATCTTCAATTTGTAACGGAAGCTGAGCCTTGGCTTGAGAAATAACAAATATTTGTTCTATACTCAGTTCCAAATTTTGCTCAGTACATGCTTCGATTTTGTTAGGTACAGCTACCGCTTTCGCTTGAATATCAATTATGCTCTCTTTATGAATACTGTAATTAGTATCAAATTTAAAATCATATTCATAATATATTAGAATTTTTTAACTTACTTTCCAGCAAATTTGACCATTTGTTTGGAAATAATGTCTCCAACAGCAACTATACATTGCACAGTGCTGCTCTGCTGGCGTAGTATCAAAAAGCATTGTTTTCCTTTAGATCTTGAAGTATGTACACGACCTCGAACCCACACCAAATCCTTGCCAATATGCTCACTAAGATTTTGTACTAACACGAATTGTCTTTCTTCTAGTTTATTTTTAGATTGTATCATTTCAGAAATGCCATATCTGCCAACAGCACAATCTTCAACTGATTCACCTTCTGCATTATCATTTCCTTTACCGGCGGCCTTATGCTCTGCTTTCTAAAAAAAAAATAATTTTAAATAAATATTCTTTGAACAATGATTTAGTTTTATTTAAATATTTTATATATTTACCTTTGCTGCTTTTAAAGCTTCCTTCGCTTGCTTTTTCGCTGCCTTTTTTGAAGTTTGTTCTTGCTCTGCTACAGCAACAGAGTCGACTTCAATATTTTCCTTATCTTTCACCATAGTGCCAAGTTTAACCTTTTAAAAAATAATTTAAACAATTTATTATTATTGAAGAATTTTTATCGCACACAAAAACAATCAAATAAAGCAACAAGCTCGTGCTGATAAAGTGCTTGCCGGTTTGAGTGACCAAAGTGGGGTGAGAAGAGAGAAACATGTTTCACTTTAAAAGTACTTATTGCGTCATGTATTTATTAATTTACTTTTATTCTTCCTTTTTTATTATATTTTACATGGTTTAAAATAATTTTCAATAATTGTCATTTATACTCGTAAAATTCTTCCTTATTGCGAAGAACACCTACGTAATTTACTTTATTTAACTGTGTGCATAATGCACTCACATAACCTGAGTCACATGTATTCAGTTTTTTACACAATGCCAAATAGTGTTAGACTTCTATTAATTTGTATATTATATTTTCTTCGAAACTAGTTTTAATTCACTTTAAATTTTCTTCACCTGAATTAAATTCCTATTTCCGTCTGTGTTAAACTATTTCCAGAAATGCACCATACAAAAGAACTGCAATTGTAGGGGAGCCGCGTACAACTTGACGTGTCAACCAGTGTTGAAAAACAGATGTAAGACTTTTTAATACATGTATGAGTGTTTGACTGAAAGTAAAAAAATTTGGGTACTTATAAAATGAAATTTTTTAATTTTCAATTCTATTAAGTAAATAGTTATACATAAAATTTAACATGGAGATCATAATATCGAAAGACTATCTGTTAATAATATTAAAGACGTTTATAATTAGTGTATATTATTCCAATACATGAATGCACTAAAGTCATAATATTGACTTCAGTCATGCTTAAGACTTTATCTGTACTGACCGAATTCATGCTTGTCAGTTTTGTGACTTCAGTTATGACTGTTAAATCGGCATTTTATTATAGTCAGTTTAACTCATTTCGGACCACCCATTTAACCCATTTTGATACACCACACACTTCTAGTTTTAAATAAATTATATTTTTTAGGTAAAAAGAAAGTGAGAGTAAACTTTCAAATAAATATTAAACTTTTCTGATTTGCTTAAACTTGTTTTATTTTACTATTGAGCCTATTTACACTATCATGAACGTGAGATGAACTTGACGACAACATGAACTGTCAGTTCAGTTTACACTATCATAAACTCTGATGAGCGTGAAATTTGTTTTGTTTTGTGTAAACGTATAAAATGCTTGTGGGTAGTAATGCACAGAAATTGATAGTATTCAGCATTAAAAGGTAAACATAAACATAACATTGCTTATGTATGCCTGTCAAGCTAAAGAAACGCAGCAAATTTCATTGCGTGAAATTCATGAATTCACATCACACTCCTTTCCCTCTCTCATCTGTCAGTAACCGGTTTTCAAGTTCGCGTTCATGATAGTGTAAATAGGCCCATTTACTACAGAAACTTCACCGTAAAATTTCAAGTCTGAAATTGTCTGTTACTTAATGGGTTAAATATGGCATTAATATTTTGCAATTACAAAAAATACGAAACGAAACAAGAATGTGAACGTTTAAACGTTGAAAGCTTATGATTTTAAAATAACTGTTTTAACTTGTATACGGGGAAAAAATTGATCATGTCTTGAAGTTATTAAAATTATTATTGAAAATATAACACAGTGCATTAATTGACCCATTTACTTAATTCATTTTAGTTATAAAATAAATTTAGAGCATATGTTTATGTTTAATGCTTTACTTTGTATCCGTTAAAATCATATGAGAATTTCATTTACTAATATAATTTCAAATACATGAATAAATTAATTAATTTAAGTATATAAGATAAAAATGCTTACCATCGCCCTTTTAATCTTCATTTTGTTTTCTTTTATTTAAATTAATTAATTTTTAGTGTTTACATTTTTTATATATCATATTGTACACAACATACAAGAAAATATGTATTTAAAAAAAGCATTTACCATGGCATTTAAAAGTGATGCCAATTTTTTTCAACCAGAATTAGTTGCTTTTTTGCAACTCAGAAAGAAAAAAATACGCCTGATACTAAACTTCACAATAAGTCTGTTCCATCAGCTGCTCACAGTAAAACTAGAGTAAAAGAGTAAGTACAAACTTAGAGCGTGACACAAATAAAATGCTAAATTATGCTCTTTACACAGATTTTCATGGAACAGCTTTGTGTAAAGTCTGGTGATTCACACACATCAACACAAATTTTATTTGAAATAAAATGTACGAGTAAAGCCTGCGTAGCATTTTTTAATTTCGACAGGGATAATACGCTCACTCAGATACACGAAAATTACTCAAAAATTTGTGGAACGCAGTTATTCAAAGTTACTATAAGTAGCTTGTAGAACAGATCTAATATACGCGAAAAATGTATGCTTACAAATAACGATTACTCACTCATACATTTACATTACACATCACTAACATTTTGATTAGTGAAATCTATCGATTGTAAATCCGATGAGAGATTATTTGTTTTTACTTTCAGTTACTTCATTGTGTTGCTGAGGTTATTATTGTTGTGCGAGACTTCCAGAAAAGTTAAGAATACGGTTTAAATTAAAACTTTGTTAAATAATCAAGGTATATAAAATGTGTTTTTAATGATTTTATAATAAAAATACGCAATGTACTGAATTTATTAGAAAACATCATTATTTTGATATATGTGATTACGTGAATAAAGTGCATTCTCATTAAACTGTAACATTTTCAGTTTTGCATAATATATAGAAACAACACAATATATAAACATACATAAACAAGTTGCAATGACTCATATTGTAATTTTTTTGTACCGCACTTATAAAATTTGCGTGTTTCCTATTAAGAAATGGTCAATAAAAATCTCCAAACACGTAATGTGTGGGCAAGAAACTCATTCCACAAAAAAGGCTAATAATACTCATAAGCAATTATATATGGATAAAACAACCTATTGCAGAACTTTTATTGAATACTTATCAGACCTGTTGTCTGGTCTATAAGTAAATGGCCACATATGAATATAAAAGATTTATTTGTTTATATCTTATCAATGGAATGATTGTTGTTGCCACCATTAATCGCGTTGACATCAATTAGCAATACGGCTTTTGCCCATATGACAGCAGTAAATGATTGATTTTCTTAACTTCCGAATTAGCGTTTTTGTTTTTAGCATAATTATTTTAATATATAAGTAGTTTAGTTAGTATATATATAGTAATTAAATGAAGAAATTGCCTTTTGTGTTAATTTTGTTGAATTTTATTAACATATTACTTTTAGTGTTTTGCAGGTACATTCTTCTTTGCTACACATTCCAACATGGCAGGTACGTTTTATTTATGGACAAGCAATATTAAAGTATTTTTCTTGCTTTTGCAGCCTTTAAAAATCGATATTTGTGTTGGTGAAAATTGAAATTAGAGCACACTTAAATTTAATTGCAAACTTAAGCCAAAAAATAAAAAAAATCAAGAATAAAAATGTCCTGGCAAGGTGGCCCTCAGTACTATCAAGGTTTAATTTTATTTTCCTTTAATTTCAAGATATAAAAAAAAAAAACTAACTGCATGATTTGTAGATAATCTAGTTTTGTTAACTAACACAATTTTATATTAATAAATACAACACTTAGCACAATTAGTAGTTGCTATACTAACTCACTTGTTAAGATAACGTAGAAATGTATTTTTATCTGAACTGTGAATTACATGATTAGTAATAATAAAAACCATTCAAAAATAATCTCATAAAATATTACATACAATTTTAAATATATACATACAAACATATATATTTATATCTTAAAAATCTTTCTTACGTCTTTTAAAAATCATATTAGTATTCCTAAAAAAATGTCAAACCGGTTGTGAAGCTTAACAGCTGTATAACTGAGATAAGCCAATATACGTGCGTATAATATGAAACAAGTTCATATTTTTAAAATTCTAATGACTATAACAGCACATCATAATGCCTAGTCACATATAATACCTATAGAGTATACATACATACTCAAGTAGTCAGATACAAACACGACATATAGAATTATAGTGTACTCTTTTTCGTCTCATAAGTAATAAGTTATCTCTTATCTCCAAATGACTACTTCTTATATGGAAACCTTACTGAAACCTTACAAATATTCACATTTATTTATATGAATTTGTGTGTAAAAGTATTTTTTCCTAATAAATTCATATGTGGTAAAATGTGGATTTTGCATTAAATGACTCAAATTGATAATGATTTTCTACTGGCTACTAAAAATTTATTTATTTGTATTGCAGTACAAAGTTTAAAAATGCAAACTGTGCGGTTATTTACATGCATTCAACATTATTTATTTAATTAATTCAATTGATGAAAACTTCATTAGAAAAATTTCCAAATACATTTCATTGCTATACTAAAGCAACAAAAACAAATATTGACATTGACAATGTTTATACAGGGTATTTAACCCACTTAAAGCACCTCTTAAGAATAAATGGTAAAAATTTCCACCGCAGTGTAGTAATGAAATTTCATTAATTAGTGTAGGTAGCTGAGATCAAGAAGCTCAGTGATCAGAAGTGACCAGAAGATACGCAAAGACTTTCCACAGAAGTATTTTCTTATATATGTTCCACATTTTTAGTGCAGTTAACCAACACTTTTATATTTTTATTCTTTCCGTTTTTACTTTTTATGTACTCTCAACTACCTATTTGATTCTTATTTATTTTAATGTGCATGAGTAAAGTATATGGATTATCTTCGTAATTAGTGTGCCTTCAATGTAGTACAACAATAAACTACACTTCTGTTAATTCACCTTAATAACACATTATCAGAATTCAACAGAGCTGTTGTAACAGTGAATCACCCAAATGGTCACAGACACTATTGAGTAACAGTGTTTTGAACACTAACTCGCTTGTCATCAAACAAAAAAGCAGAAAAACAATATATATATGTATATGACATTTTCAATGTATAAGCAATGACTTGTAGATGTTTAATCATTCATATCTCATATACTATGTACAAAATCGGTAATATAGCTAGAATGCAGAATTATCTTAATTATAGGTTCAATCACAGAACGCCGTTGAAAGAAGTTACCACTAAATGTTAATACAGCAGTTATATGCTGTAATTAATATTTATGTAATTATACATATTCATGAAGTACTGTGGATTGTATAGCTTACTTACAGATAACAGAATAAAAGCTCTCCAAATGCACACCCGAGCAATAATAATATAAGCTTAATGGCTTAAATTGTAGCTGTCAGCAAAAATGCAGAATAAACTCTGTTATGTGTATTGTTCAGTCCACACAGGAGGTGCAAATCTGATATTGCGGGGGTCAGGATTCTCAGCTTCGACCGTCCTGATCAATAGATGTTGGCTTCTTAACAGTAGTGCTATAATGTCTGTGTTTAAAACATGTGGGTAAAATGACTGTATTCATTTACTTTTATTCTATTTGGAGTTGTGTTTTCCAATTGAGTGCTGTGAACCAAAAAAACAGCAGAGTTGTTAAAGTTATTCCTTCTTCCCACCATGGAAAAAATTATATCCAAACATATAGTACTTACGCAATTCCTAGAAATTCCATTAAGATGGCTATCGGTGTATTATACCGATATGCGTGTTAAGAGACCCGTAGTGTTGAGTTAATTGGAGTTAAATAACTCTGGACTTTTGTCTATATACTAACTAGTTTTAATAAAAAAATAAACTCTAGTTTTTTCGAATTTAATCAATTACAATTGATTCAAAATTCTTCAGGCTATAACTACGTAAAAAAGAGAGAGCTACCCTTTCAAATCTTTAAAATTGTTTAATAAACATTTTATTGTACCACTGAAGTGTGAAAGTATATTAAAAAGTTGTTATAAAGGACATATTGAAAGAAATATATATAAACAACATAATATGAAGAATTATGTATGATATAAGCATAAAGCTACTTCATAATTTTAGACGTTAGAATTTCTAAAAATCATAACAAAAGAATGAAAATAATCAGTAAATAATGTGTTTCATCATGACAATGATGGTTGTATATTTATTTAGTCTTGAATCGGATTTTTTGATATATTGACTGTATAATTTTGTTATTGCACAGTATATAAATACTTTAAAATTTTCTAATCACTCCACTACTCTACTCTTAGTTTAATATAAACTTCAGCTTTTTTAAAAGAGAGGTTGAAGCTAGTGCCATAAATTGACCACAACAAAAAAAAAACATAAACGACGTCATGAGAAGTACAGCTTCAGTTAAAACACATAGAGAATAGATGTGTTTATATGTGTGAAGTAATTGCTAGTACATGGGAATATCTTAATCTCAATTTAAAATCTTGTTGCGATGCAAATATGTCTGGACGAAAAGGCATATCAGATTTAATTGTTAATACAAAAAGTTTTCAATACCCATCTGGCATTATTTCTTAACTCTCACAAAATATTTCAGCATTCAATAGTTTTACTATTAGAAAAAAATAAATTCATGTTGAGAATTAATTTAAATAATTTTCATTTTGTAAAAGTTTGACTTGTAGAGAAACGCTGTAACTTCTTTTCTAGTTATTCTGAAATATAGTTTTTTAATTAAAAATTATTGGATCATTTTTATACATATATGTAAAATATGAAACAATTTACATTAGTTGATACCGAATTATTTTTTATTACAAAATAGATAGCATTTAGCTATAATATATGATATGTATAAGAATATCATATTTTTATTTTTATGAAAACATAAAAATAAATTGTTGACTGCTGCTTTCTAAAAAATTATAACTATTACCATTAAAAGAAGCACAGCCAAAATACGTGGCCAATATTTAATGATGAAATCGTCTTCTGGAAGATCAAAGTATTGATCATCAATACCAGCATTGCGATCAGTGTCATCAAGAACTGCATTACCGCGCTAAAAAAAGAAAGCATTTTTATTTTTTATATTAAATTTCATAAATAATTTATAAAGCTACTTACGCGTTGGCGACCTCTAACACCTTCATTAATTTGGCGACCATACATAGCACGATCATCACCGTCACCACCTCCATTTACTCGACGTTTTGTAGCTTTTTGACCTAAAAGAAATGTTTCATTTTTTAAGACACTTTAAACTATGTATATAGGGTACAAAACTTACCACGTGGCATGTTGCTAGAGAAATTTGAATAACTTTAGATAATTTTGAAAATTGAATTCACTTAGCAAACTATCAATGTTTGTTATCTATGAATATTACTATAAGTAATACCAAACAATAGATAATAGATCAGCTTTGTAAAAATATCTTCAAGATTTTAAAAAATAATGAAAAACAATTAGAAAAATTTTATATGTAATAATGGTTTTAAATTTCTATCTGTAAATGGTTGCTAGATTTTTTTAAATGTCATTCCTCTTTAAATAAAATCGATACTTTTATAAAAGAAAATATTGCCTTTGATACATATTTAAGTATTAATAATAATTATGTATTTTTATTCATTTTCAACCCGGCAATTGTTATCTTGACCTAAAAATAGTTGTATATTCATCACAAAATTAAAGCAATAAAAAAGTAATAGTATACTGTACCATAATTATATATCCAAAGTATATTTCTATTTTACTTCACCCAACCCATATAAGTAGTAAGTGTGCATAAATATAAGTCCTTTTGTTGATTGGCGACACACTTATGGGTATGGATATCAAAGATATACGAAAAGATGTAATACGTCGGTAATATAATATAATAACACTAGTAATCATTTTACTTACCACTGAAAGTTTAATTACAATTAAAAGTATTCCCAATCATATATTGTGATGGATACCAGGCTATTGACAATTGCATGGAAAGTTCGAAATAAATTATAATTGTCAAATTTTACTACTGCAAAAGTTTTCAAGACCATCAAGACTAGAAAATAAATAGAGCTTATTAACTTTTTGTGTTTGATTTTCAACATAGTGTTCGGATCTATGGTATCTGAAAAGTTGATTCAACTTTTTGAAGTCGTCAAAAAATATCCGTTTACGAAAGACATCATCATTTCATTTGACGACAATTTTTGCCTTCCATTCCAAACTTTTCATTTTAGTCACTAATAGATAAATCAGGTAAATTATAGGAATGGTCATTTATTTCGAAACATTGGTATTTGATAAAATAAAAATTTTTTACTTTGTAAATGTGGACGTCTTCCTGTAAATACGACATTTAATTTATTTAATAATATAAAATAGTATTAATTAATTACTTTGGGAGCTTTTTTTGAGGTATACCATACATTCAACAATATGCTCTTGTCTCTCTTAAAAACTTTATAGCCACTACCATTCCGTGTCTATAAGAAAGCTGTTTGGCTTTTTTGCTCTTTTATTTCTTCAAACATGTATAATTTTTTTATTTTAAGAACCATTATAGCGTCATATGTGTTTTCACTTTCCATTTTCACACACTTATAGTCGGCCGTTGAGGAGAATTATTATTGAAATAATACTAGTATCGCCGCTGTTATAGATTCAATAACCCTTAATTGTTTGTCATGTGTCACTCTTTCAGCTGTCAAAACATGCTACATTTTATAAAGAAATTCTTTGTGATGCCACAATAAATGTGACTTATGCAAATATTTGGAAATATAAGTGCGTTAAAAAATTAGTTATAAATATAAATACTTTATTACTCATAAGTTCATTGGTTCCATTGAGAGTCTACTTCGTTGCTGTTTATTTATGTTTTATATTAAAAAGACAAGAAGAGTAAAGATGGTTTAGTTTCGATGTCCGGAAGAAATACTCTTCAGAGCTATTTTATGAACATAAATTAATATAATTATGGGACTCCATCATGTTAATGAACCTATTCAAAATACCTTTTTAAAGTAAGCTTATATGTATTAATTTATTATCATTGCAAAAAGTAATCAACTAAACGTTTAACAATACAATTGAGCCTAAAGTGTGCATTCATATTCCATATTTGGTTTCAGAGCTACATTCAGTAATTTTTGTGAAACATACGAATAAAGAGATGCTACTATAGGCTGAATGAGTTGTCGTAAACGTAGCGAACTTAGAAAATAATAACGGCAAAATGCATAAAAAGTTATTAGTTATGACGGATAATACAACATAAAAAACAAACAACACCAGTTCAATCCGATCTTCAAATACTTCACACATAAAAAAGTGCAATGCAATTTCTCAATTTTTGTATGTGTAAGATTTTCCCTATGTTTACGATGAAAATCAAAATTAAATTGGTATTTACCTTTCTCCCTATATTTACTTTGGCACGAATAATCAAATACATTGTTTTCCGTAAGATAGAACGGAAGATTTTTTACAGCACAACTAATTCAGCCTTAAGGCCACTTTTTTTTTGATAAAGCGAGATTTTTGAAATAATTCTGGTGTAATACAAGTGAGCATAAAAGAGAAAAATAAAAAAAGTTTAAATAAAAACTTAAGCGGCTTTTTTTTGCTTTTTTGCGTCAGAAAGTTGTAAAAGAGTTTGAATGCAAAAGAACACATGTATAACGGCAATAACATCAGAGACTTGGAGCTTAAAAAACATTAACGCAGTGTGAACGGAGTATATTAAAGCTTTTTCTTAGCGACATGTGAACATTTCTAAAGTGTTTGCTTGAAATTATGAATAAGACTGCATTCGATTCAGATCAAATTTTTATTGAAAAATAATAAACTAATAACAATAATAGGAAATCCAAAATTCTCATTGTGTTACCCCATAGAGTTATTGGTCTTTTGGTAGGTTTACTGTAAAATAGGGAACTACGTTAGATGATTGGATTGTCTTTTCAATCAAACCTGTCGCAGCTGTGGGGAAGACGATAAGAGTGCCTCTCATTTACTATATTTTTGCCCAAATCATGCACAGCGGCGACTCAACACTTTGGGAGCGCCCTTTCTTGAAAATCTTAATCAATTGCAAGACCTGATACTAAACAGCATTATGAGCTTCGCCAAAGGTTCTAGGTACTTTGAAACCCTGAGTCTTTCCCACATATATGGTAACACAATGGGTCAATAGACCAGGGATTGCCGGTTAACCTAACCTAATAACAATAATTAAAAAGTTAAAACTTAAATTTGAAATTTTTTTCAAATCTGAATATTTGCTAACAGTAATTACTTTAAGCAAAAGCTACTTGTTTGTTGACAACTCTCACTCTCGCAATTCGTCATCAAAAGATGGTATTTATTGTCTCTTCAGATATAATGTATATAGTAGATACACACTTTCACTACTGTTAAGAAGACGAAAGAGAAAAACGTTATCAATTTTCAAATTAGCGTCACACAATTTAATAATTCATTCTACTTTACCTTTTCTAATCAAATTCACTCTTCAATACTTATATATTTATTGCATATAAATATATATGTATAAAAATGTATATATATATATTTTTTTTTTAAATAAATGTTTTGATAAAATTATTATCTATCAAACATTTAGGAAAATACTTTTTTGTTGTCTTAAAGAGAGTTACCATAAACCTTTCTCAAATATTTCTGTATACGAGTCCAGTGAAATATCTATATTATTATCAGTTCATTTCGCTCTATCTGTAGATAAGTACATTAGTTCATTGTTCATCGCGTACGAAACACCTGCACAGTATTTAGTACACGTAGTGTGAATATTGTTTCATTTAGTCAAAATTTATTATTTTAAGACAATTTGTGTTGGAACTAGAACTTTGTTTTTATATTCAAATATTCTTGCTTTTGTTGTTTTTTTTCTTGGATTAATTTGTTATTAATATATATATATATATTTACTAAGATAACATAGAATGTATCAATTTCAAGGAATGTATTTTTTTTTAAATATTTAAATAATTTGTCTTCATTTTAACAGTAAACTAAATCGAGTTTAAAGTGAATACAAATTATATATATTTGCACTTAATTAATTAATAATTTTACTAACCCCACTCAGAGATGTTGATTTGGATTATTTTGCTATGGTTAGCTATTTTATTGTTATTAATATTGTATTTAAATACCAAAAAATATAAATATTAACCTTCCTTTTGCACTTTTTTTCCCCAGATCCTAATCAGCAATACTATGGTGGTGGTCAACCACAAGGTGGTTATTACCCTCCACAAGGTGGCGGTTATGGTTATCCTCCGCAGGGTTATCCACCACAAGGGCAAGGGTATCCGCAACCCGGCGGTTATCCGCAGCCTGGTGGTTATCCGCAGCCCGGTGGTTACCCACAAGATGGATATCCGTCCGCTCCACAACCTGGTTTTATTCAACCTCCTCCCGCAGGTGGCAATTATGGAGGCTATGAAGATCCAGAAGGACAACCGAAAAATTTCTCTTTTGACGATCAAAGCATTCGTAAAGGATTTATACGTAAAGTTTATATGATTTTAATGGTGAGTAAACATGAGATTAAGCCTAATCTATATTAAAGTTATCGGTGTTGGTTAATATCAAAAAATATTACTACTACTCAAGTAGTTTGTATGAAATTAAAATTCATTAGAAATAGATAAAGGTTTTTTTTAGTAAATTTTATTTAAAAACGTTTTTAAATTATTATTTATATATACGTTTAACTAAGAATGTGTCTGTTTTGATCGATGAACATTTATCATTTTTCTAACAATAGCATAAAGTTATTACTCAACATTTTTTTAGTTCATAAAGAAAAGTCTAAACTTTAAACTTTTAGCTTTTTAATGAGTACTACTATAAAATATGTAAATAATAGTTTAAAGATGAGTCAACATAAGTTCAAACCATTACCCTACTTTTCCTGCAATTGTTCTGATAAGTTTCTTTTGGTACTTGATAGAACACCTGTTGTATGTTATAAAAGTTTATTATTAATACTTTGTACAGCAGGATTTAACCATTAACCATCCATTAACAGAAATCAAGAATATGTCACTCAGACTCTTCGCAATTAAAAATATTACCGAACCATTAAACGATAATACATCCAGATCTTAGAACCAATGATCACCAATGATCGTCATGAATGCGGCAAACTAATAATTTACATATGCATGAAACTTATATTATATTTGGTTTATCATAAGTTTAGAAAAATAACTCAGCAATAGTAGGACCTACTCCGTCACTTAGGACCAACATTTCCTTTATTTCCTTTAGGATCTGGCGAATGACACCAGGTCCTCGAACTGAACGAGTGACTTTATTACGTAAACTCAACCGTTCTTGGAACCATAAAAGTGAATTAGTTTTGATCATGCTTGACTTCAATTTAAATCCCACATATCTCCCGATCTCATTTCCTAATAATCACCTTACTCTCACACATTATCCATCCACATCCTAACCAATGTATTCCCAGATTCCTGCGGGCTATAACAACAGCAACAAAGTCTTTTATTATCATTAATCAATTTTCTTATTTTAATTTTGTTTTTATAATTTTTTATCTTACAATTTGTTTTTCCTATTTTTCTTAATGGGTGCCTGTTTTTTCTTTTAATTCCATAAAAAAAAATTAAAATAGTTATAAATAAGTCTCCTTAGCAGCACGTTGTAATAAAAAAATTTTGTTTTAGGGGCAATTGTTGGTCACTTTTGGATTTGTTGCACTTTTCGTTTTCCATAAACCGACACAACAATTCGTCCAAAGGAATCCAGCTCTGTTTTGGGTTGCATTAGCTGTTTTGCTTGTAACAATGATTGCTATGGCTTGTTGCGAAGGCGTCCGACGTAAGACACCAATGAATTTCATATTCCTGACCTTATTTACTTTAGCCGAGTCATTTCTTCTGGGCGTGTCTGCTAGTCGATATGAATCTCAAGAGGTAAGTTATTAACTTACACTTAAATTTATTTATAAAAATATGGTTTTTGTTTTTCTTAAAAATTACTTCAGGTATTAATGGCAGTTGGCATCACAGCAGCAGTATGTCTAGCATTGACACTATTTGCCATGCAGACTAAATACGATTTTACTATGTGCGGTGGTGTGCTTCTTGTTGCTATGGTTGTATTCTTGATCTTTGGTATTGTCGCCATATTCGTGCCTGGCAAAATAATGACGTTAGTATATGCTTCTTGCGGTGCATTACTGTTCTCTATCTATTTAGTGTATGATACACAATTGATGATGGGTGGAGAACATAAGTATTCCATCAGTCCGGAAGAATATATATTTGCTGCTTTGAATCTATATCTAGACATCGTCAACATATTTATGTACATATTAACAATAATTGGAGCCGCAAGGGATTAAAAGGATTAAGCTCAGCTTAAATTATTTTTAGTTCTATTTATTCAGCAAGCCAACTCATTTAAGATTTGTTGGCATTCTGTTATCAAAACTCCTACACCACGATATCATTAATACATTTGTTGAACATAAAAAAAATATTGATAGTTAAAAGTTAGTTGAATATATTCTTATAATGATATATGTATGTATATTAAAATATAAATTCTACGCATTAAGAAGAAGCAATGTTGATGTTTGAATAAAGTTAAGAAAAAAAATGTTAACTCATACCAAATATTCCATAAGCTAAAGATCCAGTGAAGAAAAATCACTTTTAAGTTTCAAAAATTATAACTTGAATTCTTTAAATATTTAGTATTATGAAATTTTTTGTTATTACTTTTATAAAACTTTTGTTTAATTTATTTGTTGTATACGTTTTTATAAAATTCTATATAAGACTCCTTAACAAAAATTAAAAAGATTAAAGTTTATATTGTTGCTTATATTCTACTATTGTATTAAAAATGTGAATCGTTTTACAATATTAATATTAATAAAAATAATAGTCACTACTTACAATAATATATACACATATATGTGACTCTAAGTACAATATAACGATTCTTAATATTCTGTTTAAAAGGATAATGAAAACACGCCTGCCGGTGGTTCTCACTGTCATGCTTGTTACGATATATCAAGAATGTAATATCAGTAGCACTACACATATAAAGCAGTGTCTCAACATCGGCAAATAGATAATAAGGATATAAGTGCTGCAAAAATCAGAATATATTTATATTATATTATTGTTAGCGGATGTGACACTGCGACCGTCTGATCTATTATGCCCCCTGCGAGATTTAGAGTAGGTCTCTAAGCGCTGTTGCGTTAATAAAAACTAGAATAGAACCTACTTTACAGAGTTTTATTACTTTTTCCGTAAGAATACACATATCTAGGATGCTATTCCGTATGTGCATTAGCGCAAAGCATTCTGACAGCATTTGGTGTGGCTGACTTCTCATCACAGAATCTACAGTTTGCATTCATATGTATAGCCAGTCTCGTAAGGTGGTATTTTGGATTACAGTGCCCTGTCAGGATTCCTGTGATAATTCTAACTGTTTCTTTTGCAAGGTTTATAATATTCTGGTACCAATAAGTGATTTTAATTGTGTTAATCTATGTTGGCTGCTCTATCAGATAATCTTCCTATGTCTGAAAATTAATTCCAAAAATTATTTTACACAATCCTTCAACGGGATAGGCGTAATCATCGCCGACAGTAGAGCTGCTATTCTCGCGATGTGCAACCACAGTCCTAACATCACAGCGAGTAAAATATATTACAAAACCCAACTAATGTCAATGTGTAACTACTACACAAGAGACGTTGGCTTAACTAAACATACAAACAAATGTTATTATGGATGAACTGAACAGTTGGCTCCTATTGTTTGCCAATAGCTAGTTGGCTCCTACTAAAGGAATTAGATATGCGTTTCAACAAGAAATGTAGAAGTTAAACGGAAGAAAAAGAAAAAGAAATAACTGGATATTTTTTTGCAAATCCCCTTCAAAAATTATATTCTTTGTCAACCGCAGTTTTACAACATAAAATTTCATATCCCTGAGTGTGGGATACGGTTAGTTAAACGAAGTGTCAAAGTGAAAGGTCTATAAGAGTTATCGCGGCATGTATTATTCTTAGGCCCTCAGTACTTCGTTCCATACTCGTTGAAATTAACAACAAATCAGTTCATGTCCCAACATTATCATGGAGGCTTCTTTTCTTGCCAGCTCATTGGACTCCTCCTTTCAATGGATCTCTGTATGTTCAGAAACTTATTAAAACCTAATTGAGGTAGTCAAATCTTTGTTGTGGATACTTGTGGTTAGATAAATTATTAGCGTTGGTTAGTTTATTACATTATTTTTTAGGGCCTGTTCTTCATTTATACTTCAGATAGTTTTACCATTTGGAAAAGTCTATTTAATTAGCCATTATTTTAATACAAGGTAGCTTTTCAAAAATTATAACATTTGGCAATATATTATTTTCTATTATTTTCCCAAAAAAGGACTTTAGGTATCTGTTTTCCGCATTGTACAAGTCCGATTGGGTTATGTTAGATGGCGTTAGAAATATGAGTTTTTGCACCGGTAATTTTAATGTTAAAGATGCACCATGCAGTGGAGTCTGACAATCGACCATCATCTAAGCACTGTTTCGACTGTTCAAGAGCTAAAGATTGCACAAAAAATCGTTTGGAACCATTTGAATTAGTTTGGATACAAAAAGAAGCTTGATCTATGGGTGTCACAAGAATTAACGTAAAAAACCTTATGGACCGAATTTCCATTTGCAAATCGCTACTGAATCGCAATTAAATCGACTCACTTCTAAAGCGGTTGATGATTGGTGATGATGGATAACTTACAATAACGTCTAGTGAAAACGGTTGTAGTCGAATTGCGGTGATCCGGCTGAAACGGTGGCCAAGCGAGGATTAACCGCTTGGAAGATTTTACTGTGTACTTGGTGGGATTGGCAGGGAATCTTCTACTATGAGCTGCATCCCTACGGCAAAAATAAACAAGCTGTAGTATATATTTTCACTTATAAAAAGGGATAAATCTACGTCTCGGAAATACTTGCAATCATCATCCTTCACAGTTCTTAAGATGGTGAATCATGAGAGACTCTTGAATGTGATCATTTCTTAGGCAAACAATAACTATCGTTGTTTTGTGTTTTAGGCAGAATTTTTTGCTGCCTGTGACTCTTTCAATTCTGTCGTAAATTAAATGGATATATTATATATATCCTTTATGTTAATGAAACAACAAAATTTATATATGCTTAAGTAAATATAATGCAATTCTAAACTATTATACAACTATAACAAAACATCTGTACAGTTCTATATAACACTTATGTAAATCCTTCCGGTAGTTATTGTGGTAACCAAAAATACAAGGATATTAACTTACACAAATAGAGTTTTGGAGTTTCCAGATAATTCTGTTTTACATAATTCTACATTAGATAGAATAATTATACTCATCTATAGCTTTATAATTCAATTAAGACTTATAATATCTTCCACAAGTGTTAATCGCGTATTGTGAACGTGATTACTAATTAACTTACTCCTTATAGGTCACAGTAACATCATAGACAAAAATAATATAAAGTGATATTTAACAAACCACACGTTTGTGTTGTTTTGATTTTCGTGGACTTGAGAGCATGAAACATAGAAGGGTTGCAAAATAATGCAGGACTAAGGATGGAGTGTGTAGTAAGAAAAAAGTAAAAAAGGGGGATTCGTGAGATAGAAAGAGATGAAAATGATAAACGTTCAATTTAAAAACTCTTATATTTTTAATTTTTTTAAAGTATTTTGTGTCATATTTTCCAAAAAAAACAATTCGGTCTTAAAACAATTACAGATAGCTCAAAACCTGGATTTAAGAAGACTGTTTAAGATTCCATGGTATATTAGATCAACAGACATATATAGAGATCTTAGGATTGACTCAGTGAAAAAATATATCAGAGACAGAGCTCTAATATTATTCACTAAAGTTGATACGCTACTTAACCCCGCCCTAACAATCCTCAAGTCCACTTCTGGACTCTCAGGAAGATATGCTGATTTAAGGTCCGTCATCAATTAAAAGGCAAATAAATTATATGATTTCTAAGCTTAGTTAAAGCATAGTTTGGGGTAGAGATAAGCTCCCCAGCCATTATAGAGTAAAAGTGCGTAATAGCACTAACTCAAGAAGAAGAAGAATCAAGAAGAAAATTGACGTTTAAATCAACTTATTTTATTCAAGTTGTTTTTTTTTAACTTTTAATTCAGAAAATTTGATTATATTTTATATACAAATGAATATCCTGTGAATCTTTTTTTTAAAAATATTTCAAAATTTTTGTGTTATATTAAAGTGAACTCTATAAGTAATACAAGATGATCAAATCTGGCGGTATGACAAGTGCATATATTTTAAATATAACCATAGCTTATACAGCTCTTTACTATAGAAAATAACAGATATAATCCAGAATGGAGTAATGGTTATAGTTTTGACGACAGGTCAGTGCGCCATGAGTTTATATCAAAAGTCTTCTCTATAGTAGCTGTAAGTATATTATATAATATCTTTATATCCCAAAAATCATATTTTTTTCTTATAAAATATATAGGTCCAGATTTTTGTCACTATAGGAATAATAGGGATGTTTGTATTCAATGATGATCTTAAAGTTTATGTTTTACAACGTATTTACTTATTTTGGATAGCATTAGGAGCCACATTCATATGTATGTTGGTATTGGTTTGCTGTGAAAATGTACGTCGCACTTCTCCAACTAATTATATAATGCTCGGTATCTTTACACTTTGTGAAGCGTTTTTATTGGGAGTAATAACCATTTTTTACAAATTGGAATTGGTACGTCCAATGTACTGCAATTTTTATATTTATTGTATAACATACTTCTACTTTCAGATATTGTATGCTATGGTTATAACATTTCTTGTTGTTGTTGGTCTAACGCTGTTTGCGTTACAAACACAGATTGACTTCACAGCCTGTGGAGGTATAATGATCGTATTAGCGATTATTCTATTAGTAATGGGGATCGTCATGATATTCTTTCCCAGCCGCACATTGCATATAATTTATTGTTGTTTTGGCGTTGGTATATTTGGGATATACTTGATTTACGATGTACAGTTAATGGTGGGAGGCAACCATGCCAATTCTATTTCACCAGAAGACTATATATTTGCAGCGCTTTCAATTTACATTGATGTTGTTACTTTATTTATGTATATTTTGCAATTACTTAGCGCAACAACCGATTAGCGTACTGTTACCGTATATAAAATTTATATTGTAGTATATAATACTACACATATAAATTTCTATTGTTACTTCATAATAATATTCAAATAGTGATTACAGATTTGAGACATCTGTATTTAAATTGATAAATAAACCGTATTAAAGTATGCCGATTATAGAAAATTATGTATTTTTATATATCTTTTCTACCACCAGACCCGTAATAAATTAATTATCTTATTAAGCAGCCATAATGCTTTAATAATAAATATACATATATATAAATAATGTCATTCGATTCATTTGGGAGAGGTTGGGGAACTTAAGTTTCTCAAGCCTCATCTGATTACCACTATTATCACTCTAACATTAAAATATATTAAAATGCCTTATATAAATATTTGAAGCAGTATTTATTGCTTAAGGACCGAATTAACCGTTGCATCAAGCTGGAGAAGTTCAAAATAGACAATTCTCTTCCAATTCCACCAAACACTCAACGTAATCTAATTTATTGTTAATTCAGGTTTTAAACTCATTTGTAGAGGGTCAACGACTTTTGAACATGATCGCTTACGTTGGATATTGATGTATTTAATCCATTTTTCGTTGCTCGAAATAATTTATTTCAAAAATGGTTCTATTTCGTCGGTGATTTACTGATGTTATTCTGGTCATTCAAATTGCTTTGCATTAATTCATGTAATACCTAAACATCAAGAGTCTGGCTCTACCAGTTTCTCCAAAATTACATCGGTATTTTTAGTGACTGGCCGACCAAAACGAGGCTCATCAGTTTCACATATTTTATAGTAATAAACCATCACATAGTTCATATAGTCAGAACATTTTAACAATTTTTCGTAACTACTGGTTAATAAAGGCTTATAGCGCGTTGATGTCATTTGACGCAGCGTTTCATGATTGACATCCATATAGGAGAGTAGACATAATATTGAATTGTTGAATATTAATTGTCTAGTTGTAAATTTATACTGCCAGGAATTTATCTATCTATATCTACAATTTTTTAATTTTATCTGAACAAAACATTCAACCAATAGGTGTGTATAGGTCGGCAATCTTCGAAGTAGTATCTTCAAATTCAGTACAACTCCAATAAGTAATGTCAAAGTTGAATTAAATATTCCAAATTAATCTTACCTTGGATTTATACTGTTAAGAATTTATGTCTACATTTTTTTAATATTATTTAAACAAAACATTAAACCAATGGATGTGTTTGGGTCTATGAACCTCATATCATGACAAGTCGGCATTCATTGAAGTGGTATCATTAAATTCAGTACAAATCTAATAAGTTATGTAAAATTCGAATTACAGATCTCAGATAAATCTTACCTTGGATTTATACCGTTAGGAATTTATAATGTCTATATTTTTTTTATTTTATCTGAACAAAACATTCAACCAATGGGTCAATAAATCACATGTCGTGATAAATCGGCAATCTTTAAACTGGTATCTTCAAATTCAATACAAATCCAATAAATTATGTCAAAGTTGAATTAAAGATCTCCGATAAGTCTTAACTACACATTAAATATACCTATATATATTAAAATTATTAATATAATTGCGAATTTCTTTGAATATAACAGAAGTTATATATCTCATATCATATTTATTTGTGCTCTTTTTTTTTGCAAATATTTTTATAATTAAATTTTAAAATAATTAACCAGTCTTGAATAACCAAAACGATTACACCTTAAAAATAAAAACGCTTGACGTGATTTCGGTTCAACACTTTAGTATTTTCACAACCTGTACACTCTGAGCCGATTTATATTACAAACTGTAAAAGAATAATTTTTCTAAAAAAAATATCTATGAATTTTGCACAAAACCCAAAGTTTTACTTATTCCGTTTTTATGTATAAAAAATTTTATATGTCTTCTCACAGTTCGTATGTTGGGTCGGTAGCCTATTAAAGTAGACCTTGCCAACGCAGTGGTAACCAATTAATTAGACACATGAACAAGCCGTAATATAATTATATCCAATTGAGTTTCAAAATCAAAATCAAAACACTTGCAAATTCTTCTATTTCATATTCAAATTATGGACGACTGGAAATTTTAAGTTCAAATGTGTTCCTCAATTATAGTTGAACGCAAAATGTTATTGTTGTTGTTGTTGTGTTCATCCAAAATTGTTCACTGGAAGTCAATATTTGGAAACTAAGATTTAGTTGCTGTTTGAATTACATTCCGTACACAAGTAAAAAAACTGTCTTTACCAATATATAATACCAAAAGGAGAGAAAAAATGGATTTTGATGAAGTACTTAAAGAAATTGGATCATTTGGATTGTATCAAAAAATTATAATATGCACAGTACTATTACCAGCAGCTTTACCTTGCGCATTCCACGCTTACAGGTTCTATATTCTTTATATCTCTATATTCACAACTGAAAAAAGTAAGTGAAATAATTATTTTATTTTTGGTTCGTCATAGTCAATTATTTATTGCGGCTACACCTAAGCATTGGTGCAGAGTTCCTGAACTCGAACCTTGGACACCTGATTATCCTGTACTTGTCAAAAATTTAAGCATACCTGTTAGTATTGATAACAGCAGTAATGAGTATATGGCATGCAGTATGTACAATAGAAATTATTCGGATATCGTTAGATATTTGGAATATCGGACACCACTACAACTACAAAACGATAAGGTTTGGCAGATTGGAAGTCCAGTAAACACCAAAATCATTGACTGTCAACATGGTTGGCTTTATGATAAGTCTATGTATCCTAGTACGGTTGTTTCTGAGGTGAGTACATGTTGATTTTTTTAGAGATATATTATAAATGCAATAAAATAGGTATACTGTTCTTAACTTCTTGAGAATATTAAAAATAAAATTGTGATTTTATGTATTTTCCTAATGGTTTTAATGGGTGTGATAAAAATTTTTTTAAATAATAAAGTACAAAAAATTAAAGAAAAAAATAGAAATCATCAAATTAAATTAAAAAACTGTAACTGTAAACACAATAAGAATTGGTGAGACTATTTCATTTCGAATCCAAAAATAGAACTGTATTCGGTGAATGCTTAATGGAGTTATGACAGTAACTTCTAACATCAAAAAAAAAAAATAGGAGATATATTGAATTCAAAAATGTGTCTGTAATAGTTTTGAAATAAAATAATAATAATATATTTTTTAAATAAAAAAAATAGTAATTATTTTGAATGAGATAAAAAATAAAGAAAAATTAAAAATAAGAATTAAAAATCTATTATTTATAATTCTTATTAAAAAAATAAATAAAAAAATTTTTTTAAATTAAAAATAAATTATTAAAAAAAATAAATAAAAAATATTTTTTTTAACATTTTAAACTTAATTAAAACAAAATAATTAAAATAAAACATAACAAAACAACATTTCAATAAAAATATTAATATAAATTTTAGGAAATAAATTTAAAAAAATATAAAAATTAATAAATGAAAAAAATAATATTTAAAACTTGGTAAAAAAGTAATAATATGAATATTTAAATTAAAATAAATTTAAGTAATAAACCAATAAAGTAAAAAAAATTTTAAAATATATTAAAATACAAAGTAAATTTCGACTAATAATTTTATGGAAAAACCGATTAATTTTATTCAAAATCGTTTCCTTTTAACTAAGTATATAGCAATTTGCTCAGTCTGAAAATATATCAAATAAATGTTTTTCATAATCGGTTGGACAGCCAATCAGACTGCCGGTATAAGAATTTTTGATACCGTTTACGTCCATAAAACGCTTCCCTTTGATCGGTAAATGCATTTTTTATAAGAGCTTAAACTCACACAGTGGTTAATCAGGTGAATTGAATACAAATAATGATTGACTATATCGACACGAGGAATTGTCAATAGATGTCATCCCTACAAATATCTATTTTTAAAAAATTGTATCTACTTTCGAATCCATCCTATATATGTAGGGTATATATTTATAACCGTTACAAGAGTTTAGTAAGTTAATTATGAAGCAGTAACGAAAATGTTTTATAACCATATATATTTTTGGCCACCACCACAATCGATTTAACAGGTTATTTGTTTTTTTATCTAGTTCATTAAGTACTATAGTGAACTCGAAATAAATAAAGAATAAAACTGCAAATTCATAGGATTTTTATTAAATAATGTGAATGAAGTTGACAAGTAAATGAAATTGGTTCACTATATCATATATCGTTCATATAAATATCAAATACATCAGAAGAATGCACTGTTATTATAAATAGATCTAAAAAAAGTATACTTTTTTTATTCAAATAAATCAGTCATAAGTAATCACATCCACAGCTTTTTCCAGTTAATTAAAATCAGTGCTACTAATTATTCTTGTTCTTATTTCTAATTATAGTTTTTGCACTCTTAATTTATATGTATACATGCAATTTTTAGTTTAATAAGAATAAAAATAGTTTAAAAAAATTAAAAATTGTATTAAAAAATTCATAATTATAATGCGTTCAGGTGATCAAATACATTTATATATTCCCTAAATAAAATGTTTTTAAATAATTGCTATTTAATACTTAAAGTAATTTTTTCTCATAGTTCATATACTTTCACAACTGCAAGATCTTAAAATATAGCACAATCTGCATTTCCATTCAGATAACGAAAAGTTGTTAAAAGGACAAAGTCCTTAAAAAGTTATTTAAAATTAGTCCTTCCAGTCATGCTTTTTTTTTTGGAGCCATCTGTCATATACCTCTCACACTGTAATGATTAAGAGATACTGTGCTATCAATAATGTGCCTGGATCAATAATGTAATGCTGTACTTAACAGATATGTTTACAGTTGTTTCTAGTGGGAACAGAAATTCCAACTGAGAACTGAATATCCAACTAAGAACTAAATATCCAACTGAGGAAAGAGTATTGAGTTAAGGACATAGTATCCAACTTAGGACAGAGTATCCAACGTAACACAGAATATCCATATGAGAATAGAGTATTTAACTGAACATAGATTATCCAACCGAGGATAAAGTATACAACTGAGCGCAGAGTATCTAACCGAATACAGAGTATTTAATATAAGACAGAGTATTCAACATAAACCATAGTATCTACCTGAGGATAGAGTAGTCAACTAAGGACACAGTATTTAAAGTAGTACAGGGAATCAACTGAAGACAGAGTACCAAACCAAAGAGAAAATATTTAACTGTAGAGAGAGTTTTTATACTAGAGCCGAATATCCAACTTAGGGCAGGGTATGCAATTGAGGACAAAGTATTCAATCTAAGATAGAGTATCCAACTTAAGACAGAGTATTCAATATAACACAGAACATCCGATTGAGGACAAAGTATCCAATTATCGATAGAGTATCGAACTGAGAATAGAGTTTCTAATAGAGGATAGAGTTGCCAACTGAAGACAGAGTATACAACTGAGTATAAAGTATCCAATTTAAGAGAGGGTGTCCAACTGTGGATGGAGGCTCTAACTGATATTCGAGCATATCCAATCAAGCATAGAGCATCCAAGTTACTGCGAACAAAGAATCTGAAACAATAACAGAATATCAAGATATTTATATAGATCTTAGATCTTATCGATATTATTATATTTACTATTATTAATAATTAATTGAAATTCTAAATAAACTAAATATTGACAGAGTAAGCTTTCTACTTATGCTAAATGAAATATATATTCCAATGCTTTTTTTTTCTTTCGCAATACCCTTTTTTTCTTGTTAGATTTCTGAGGTACTTATTCCTTGTTAACATCATAGACACTTTCTTCTGAAAACTTATTAGTTTCTATTAGAACATTTTAATAAATAATTTTATTAAATAATATACAAAAACTGTATATTATATAATTTTATTTTATAATAAATATATCAATTAATTTATATAAAATAATGTATATAACTTTATTTTACTCTTTGTATCATTTAATTAAAATTTCAGTGGAACCTAGTCTGTGACAAAAGTTATTTGGTTACATTGGCTTTAGTCGTTTTTGGCATTGGTGGCTTACTCGGGAATTATGTTTTCGGTTATTTGCAAGATTTCTGGGGTCGGCGACCTTCATTCTATTTATATTTAATACTTGAGATTACAGCTTGTGCGGCTAGTGCTTTCGCTTGGAACTATTATTCATGGTTGGGAATGCGTTTTGTAGTTGGTTGGACTGTACCAGCAATACTAGCATCGCCATATGTATTAGGTATATAAACGTTCAATTATTACAGTTGAAATAAATGTAATTCAAATTATTTGTATATTTTATTTAGCAATTGAATTGGTTGGACCGGAAAGACGTGTGTTCTGTACAATTGTATCGAATATAGCTTACTCATGTGGACTTGTATTATTAGCAGGCATTGTGTATATAATACGCGATTGGCGATTCTTAACATTAGCTGTTTCACTGCCTTTACTATTGCTATTCTCATGCTTTTTTGTTTTACCAGAATCACCACGTTGGCTTATAGCCGTCGGTCAGCCCTTGAGAGCAGCCAAAATTCTCAAAACAATAGCACGTGTGAATGGTTATCAGATACCCGTAAATTTCGTCAGCATCGTACAGCAAAAGCTATTAACACCAAAAGTGGAATCAATTAATGAACTTGATAAATCTTATGGTATACTCGATCTGTTTCGTAGCACTAATATGCGTCGTAAAACTCTTATTATAACACTTATTTGGTTTGCTAACACAAGTGTTTATGTTGGACTAAGTTATTACGCACCAGCTTTGGGTGGTAATGAGATTTGGAATTTTTTTCTTGCCGGTGCAGTAGAATTGCCAACATATCTTTTACTTTGGCCTGGTCTAAGCTATATCGGGCGTCGTTGGATCCTTTGTGTATCCATGTTATGTGGTGGCATTGCATGTGTAGCAACATTTCTCTATGCGCAAAAACCTGAGATTATGTTACTCTTGTACTGCATTGGGAAAATGGGCATTTCATCCGCTTTCGTAGTGCTGCCATTGTTAGCTTCAGAGTTATATCCGACTGTCGTACGAGGTCTGGGTATGAGTTTTAGTTCTGTGATTGCCATGATCGGACCTATTGTAATACCAATTATAAATCACATGGTATGTAATTTAAAATATAGAAAAAACTATTTCTTTTTTTTAATGTTAAATAATTACTTTAATTACAGGGACAACATATGCTCGTTTTACCATTAATTGTCATGGGCACTTTGTTAATTATTGGAGGTTTTGCTAGTTTACTTTTACCGGAAACAAGAGACAAAAATCTACCGCAGACAATAGAAGATGGTGAAAAAATTCCATTAAAATTTTTTTCTTGTTGCTGTGAATCAACAAAAAAAACTCCAATAAACAGAAACCATAGTCCGGCCTCTGAACGTAGTGAGAACTATGGACATAGACGTAAGCGCATTGTGTGTAGTATTTGTAAAAATGAAATTAAAAATTATCGTTAAGTTGAAATTCTGTATAAATGATATATTTTAAAATAATAGGCATAAACTCACATAGTCGTTGGTATATTTAACTTAATTACACTAAAACATTTATTAAATAATTTCACATTCATTAAATTAAAAATAATCCTCAGAAGGTTCAGTACCGAAATACCGATCTCCGAAATTGCCAATACCAGGTATCACATAAAATTTGTCATTTATCTCCGGATCCAAAGCCGAAGTTACAATTTTTACCTATGAAATATATTTTAAATGTATTTAAATATATATATATTTAAATGTCTGTATTTATCTAAAAGTCACCTGTGGAAAAGCGTATGCAATTGAATGTACTCCTATTTCGGCCATTAAAAGAGAAGCGAGGATAATATTTTCTTCGGGAACATCATGATCTAGCAATACTCTTATAGCCATCATAGCAGCCGCACCAGTCGCTACAGTAGCATCCATTAGTATTACTTTATAGTCTTTGATATCTTTAGGTAAGCGCAGATAATACAATTCTGGTTCGCCAGTGACTTGATTTGTTTGTATTAAAATTTTGCCAATACGTATGTCTTTACAAACATCGCATATAGCTTGTTCCATGGTTTCACCGGCACGCAAAATTGAGACACCACAAATTTTTTTTGAGGACATCCGTTGACCTGAACAACAAAATATTTATTATTTAAAGACTAAATACGTTTACTTTTACAATTGCTTATTTTTACCAGCATATGATACTCCCTGCGGAGTTTCCACAATTGTGGTCTTAAAAGGAAATAGACTTAGTGTGTATTCTATGACTAAGCGTATTAGTCTTTTCGAATAAAATATAAACTCATCCCTTGATGTGTTTTTGCAACGTATAAATGTATGTAAGCCCTTAATTTGTGGTGTTGGGCTTATCAAATGCAATGAATTAGGCATTGGTTGATCTTTATAGGAATTTGCTAAAGTCTCTCTAAGTTTAAAACCACGCTAATGAAACGGTGGAAACATAGTTTAAGGAATTGTTAAGTATTTTTAATTTTTGAATTTACCAACTGCAGTTGTGTGTGAACGTGTTGCACTATAAGACATATTGCTACTTTATTTTCACCACCACGAGGAACTATGATATCGGCATGTACCATGGTTGGTGCTATATAGTTTGCATATGATGGTTTTACCATGGTCAAATACTGTTTGAGAACGCCTTTCAAATCACGTCCTCGTTGTGATATATCTCTATAAAAAAAAATAATTGAAGATAACTCTTTAATTAAACAACTACAACAACATTAATGGAGACAACGTAATAAATAATTAACTTTTACTTAAAAATTGCTTGTAAAGGAGTTTAAATTTACCTCTTTAAACGTCTAGCTAGCCGAATATCAGCATCTGTATCCACAAATATTTTCATATCCAGTAAATCTAATATTTCCTGACTATGAAAAGTAAGTATACCCTCAAATATAATAACATTAGCACCGTACATAGTTTTCTGTTTTTAAAATAAAAATACTAAAATAGTTGTTGTATTCTTATAACTTAAGTTAACATTTTACCGTTTGCGACTCTCTACCATGTGTAACAAAATTGTAAACTGGTACCTCCACTTTACGTCCTTCTTTTAATTTTTTCAGTACTGTGATCAGCAAATCAATATCAAACGCATCAGGATGATCAAAGTTGTATTCATTCTCTAAAGCTAGTTCATGCTGTTTATGATTTAAAACCTAAAAAAGTTATTGAATGTGTTGATATATTCATTACTATTTATATTATAAATTTAATTTATAAAATTATTTTACAACAAATTTGTTTACCTTATAAAAACAGTCCATGGATAATAACGTTACCCAAGGAACATCTAAGCTTTCGATAATCTTTTGCGCTACTGTAGTCTTTCCAGAAGCACTACCACCACATATACCTATAAATTTAAAAATTATTTATAACAAAAAATAAAATAATCAACAGTTCTTTACCAATGACAAATGGTTCCACCTGCTGGCCGGCACAGTTGTACCAAGGCGGCCGACCAGCAGTATAAATAGTGCGATTATTGGCACGGATAATACATTCGGATGGATTTGCTGTTGTCGTTTGATTATTTATAGACGTAGTACGCTGACGTTTAGGCCTAATACGTACTGTTTGTTCTGCTGCTATACTTCTAGCTGGCACTGTTGTTGGTGATGCTGGACAGCACATATAATCCCCATTGGTATACTCAGAATGTATATTTGGATCAACATATAATTGCTCAGTTACATCAGATCGGTCATCACTATAAAAATATAAAAAATAATTAATATATTTTATTGAAGTGCTTAAATCGAAACACAATTAAACACATATTAAAGGAAAAAAATGTCTGAAATAAAATTATATACATTTATATATAATTGTATTATATACAATTATATATATTTAACTTTCATGCACTACCAAAGTATTCTCATTCCATAATTACAAAAAATATATATGCATATAATAAATTGATTAAATATCATGTTTACATTACAAATAATAATAATCATAAGAAAAGACAAATATTGTACATGATCTAGTAAAATAGAGTTTAAATAAATTAAAATATGTCTCTGTATTAAAATATAGTCTTTGTATGACATACAAAATGATTTAATTGATAGTTGTATCATATTAGTGTATAGATAAGAATGGGAGAAAGGAAGAGACATCAAACTTTCACATAAAAGAGAAAATATTTTATTAGCTTCTAACTTTATTAACTCCTAAACATAATATAGAACTTTAGACATTAATAGATCTTTAGGATCACTTTTTTCAACTAACCTAACTTTTTTCATCAAAATCTCTTAAGTCTAGACACTAATTCTTGGTATATTAATTAATAATTCTTCCAGTACTGACTTATGTAGATTTATGTAGACTTATGTACATAATAAAAATCTTTAGGTACATTTCTATGAATAGATTATATAGCATCTATATAAACCATTTAATAAAAAATTAAGAAAACGAGGAAAATATGCCTCTGTGGATACGCCGCTGTAAAGGTAACATATACAGAAAAACTAGAAGTTTCTCTCGCCAAACCAAAAATGTTGGATGTCGTTCTTGACACTATGTTATCCTACTCAGCACGTACGGTTTAATGGACGCAAAGCGCTAAAAATAGTAGCAGACTAAGTTTGGGGTAAAGTTCCAGAACTCCTGCGAGACCCATAAACCAATTAAGATCTGAAATTGTTTTTCCGTCTAGGTTTTATGTCCAGTCAGTGTTAAAAATATTTAGTAAAATTCTACAAAAACAATTAGGGACTGTGTTAATGGAAATTGTTTTGATTGTAGCCATTAGTAATAGTTTGTAAATATAAAATTTTATTGAAAATAAAGTGAATGTGGTTATAGACAACACTTGTGTGTTATCTTTATCAATATAAAAATAAGGATCACTTTATGGGTTTTTGCGTTCATATACAAAGCAAATAAACAAATGAGTTTTTTTAATTTGTTGTTTTAATATTATATCAATTTCAAAATAAACATTTTGGATGCGTATTTAATATTCTCTAAGTAATTGTTTGGAATAATTTTGTTAACTCAAGTGTGTGCATATCTGTACTAGTATCTCCTAGGTTGCAGCATTTATCTACTATCGCAATTAGTATCTATTATTATCTCTTCTAATTATTATTATTTCAATTGGAAGTACATTTTTAGACCAGAAGTTAGTATGTCAGATCGTTCGCCCCGTAGTTCCATACCATACATACATACCATTAGAGCAATATACTCTAATATTGTATTAAACATCGAATATAATAATCGTATTTATAGATTCTTATAGATGTTATAGATTGACTAACAAAATGTCCATATAACTAAATATATATAAGATCACCTTTCTCA